TCTGTGTTATATTTAAAACAAACTCTGCCAAACAACGAATATAAAATTCTACAACAAAATGATAAAAATTTCCTTCATGCAAACTGCAGGACTTCTTTATAGCTGCAAATACAGGTTGGATAGGTATTTCAGAAGACCCCCAAAACATCAACAGAGTCATTTGAGAAGAAATTAATATTTCAGTGCTAGGAAACTAAAATATCGTAAACTACTATCAAAATATAAGCAACACAGAACAAAGATCATTGCAAAAAAGACTAACCTTTTGATGCAAATTTATATAAGGCATCACATGCTTTGGCCAAAACTTCCACTTCAGGACAACTGAGCATTAGCACAACTGTTGCAGGTGTTTTGCTTTCAATCAATAAAGGATCAAGCTACAAACACACAAAAAAAAAAAGAAAAAAAAGAAAGAAAAGTTTGATTTATATTGAGTCTTCCTGTGTCCTGTGTGCTGCAGTAGACTCCCACATTCCATAATAAATAAAACTCATTTGATATCTACACTGAATTAGAAATATAAACACGAGTTGCTATTTACTTGGAGAAATCCAATCTTTTAATTACAATTAGACATTGAAAAATAAGAAATAATGATTGATTTCCAAATAAATATAATCATGATTTCATCCCATATGAAGATTTTGGGGAAACCTTGACACTTCCCTGTAAATCTAGAAAGTCTTGAAGGTAACACACTATGTACTTGTTACACGTGTAAGAGCATCTTGTGGCTTTGGAACCAGACATGAATTTCTTTTGAGCAGCTGTACAGAGCCTATTAACTGAGGTGTTCCTTTCAGAAATGAAGAAACATCCTCCCTTTGATCTCTCCTAATACAGAAAACACTTTGTTTGTTCTTGTCTTCCTTAGTTCATTCTTAGTTCATTCTATGTCTTTCTACAGTTCAGCTGCACCTTTTCCAGATGGAAACTCCAGAACTGTTAATGGCATTCAACATGTGCATGTATAATGCATTTGCTAGCAAGATGGTGTTTTGTCTTTTATTTACGGAATTTGAAATGTCGTATTTATACATTTTTTCCCTACTTAGGAGCTGGCTCCCATTTTCAGGAAATATCCATGTTAATTCTGATAGATTGAATGACATAGGCTGCAGAATAAAACCCCATGACATTATACTGGCAACCACTCTCCACTATGAAACCTGAACAGTGACTTGTTTTCTCACCTTTGCTTTCTATTTTATAACCAGTTATTATTGCTAGGAGAGGAATTTCTTTTCTACCTATCTGTGTTTATGTGAGTGAAAAGCCTGGTCTAGAAACTTTTGAAAAAGTTGAGCAACTGTATCGATCAGAACACCATTATCCACTTGCTCACTGATTGCTTCAAAGAATTCAAATAGATTTTAGAAGCCAAACTTTCCTCTACACAAACAGTACTGATTCTCCCCCATTACTATCATAGTTACCCTTGGGTTTATTGGGTTTTTTCAGAACTATTTCTACCAATCAACACAGCATGGAAGATAAACTTAGTGTAATTAGTGATGTATTTCTTTTTGACAATGAAACCTTCTACCTTCCATTCTTCTAGTACAAAGGGTACACATTAAATACCATAAGTAACAATACCACATTTTCAGATTTTAGCTATTTTTAATTTAGCAAAAGACCTGGGCAAATACTGCTTATTCTTATTTGGGCAATTTTATCCCATTTATTTTGCTACTTTGCTTTGTCTTATGACACAAAAGTAAGGATTTATGCTTTTCTTTCATGACTTTAATCACCTAATAGAATTCCTCTAAGAAGCTTCTGGGATCTAGTCAATTTTGAAAAGCTTTACTGCTAGTTTTCATATCTTTGCTAGCTCTCTCCCAAAATATTTTGATGCAAGGTGACTTTGCCCTTCTACTTCTTATTTGGGAATGCAAGGGGGTTTTTTTTTTGTGTTCCTATTTGGATGCAAATCTCACCTTTTGAAGGATATATTTATCTGCTACTATTCTACTGTTTAGTCAGGCTGTATTTTTGTAAAAAAAATCCTTTGAGTTTGAATTAACTGACTACAGGGCTGCTTTATCCTTGCACCTTTCACAGAATCTTCAGAAGTGCTACTGATATCTTAGATTTTTTAACCCCTTTACCTTGAAAAACAGAGTTAATAGATACCTGGTCATCCTAACTGTTTCAGTTCTGTCATTGTGTGATCTCCTATACTAACAATATAAGCCCAAGACACTCCACTGGATCACAAATAGCTGATGTTAGAAGGCACCTCTGGGAATGATCTGGTCCTGTTTAGAGCAGGGTGAGCTAGAGCTCAGTGTCTCCATGGATGGAGAGTCCAGAAGCTCTCTAAACAACCTGTGGCATGTTTTGTGATTCTTACCGTAAAAGAGGATTTTTTATGCTTAAATGAAACCTCCTGTGTTTCCATTTGTGCCCATTGCCTTTCACTGGGCAACACTGAGAAGAGCCTGACCTGATTTCTCTTCTTCCTCCTATCAAGTATTTATACACTGATCCCTCCAAACCTTCTCTCAAGACTGAACTGTTGCAACTATCAGTGTCTCCTCATATGACAAATGCTCCAAGATTTTGGCAGATTTCTTCCTCTAAGCCCTCGTCTCTCTTGTACCAGAGAACCCAGACCAGGACACAGCACTCCAGGTGTGGTCTCACTCACCAACAACAGTCCCCTCTCTCAAGCTGCTGGTAACAGTCTGCATAATGCACTCCAGGATTTTGTTAGCCTTCCTTGTCTCAAGTGCATATTGCTGGTGCACATCCACCAGAATCACCAGGTCCTTTCCTGTAAAGCTGCTTTCCAGCTGGTCATCACTCAGTCCATACTGGATGTTCTTCCCCTCCAGGTGTAGGACTTGGCATTTCCCTTTATTGAACTTAATTAAATTCCCAATTTCCCATTTCTCTATTTTGTTGAGGTCCCTCTGAACTGATGCACAACCACCTGGTCTGTCAGTCACTCTTCTCAATTTTGAATCTTCTGCAAACTTGCTGAATGTGCTCTCTGTCCCATCACTCAGGTCACTAATGAAGAGACTAAACAGTACCAGCCCCAGGATCAATCCCTGGAGCACAAAACTAGTGCCTGACTTCCAATGGGACCTCATGCTGCTGATCACAACCCTTTGAGCTTGTCTTTCAGCTAGTCTTCAGTTCATTTACACTGTCTATTTATTTGGTCTGTACTTCACCAGTTTGCCTATGAGGATGTTATGAGAGACAGTACTGAAAGGCTTAGTAAAGTCAAGTCAAACTAAGATTTCGGCATTAATCAAAAGAAGGTGTTTCTGTGGAGACAATTTCAGGAGCTGACTGTGCGATTTCATACATTCCACCTTTTTTTAACATCAGTATTGTGAAAGAAGCCATTTTCAAAAATATTCAGGTATCAATAGCTTTCCTTCAGCAATAGTGCCTCAATATTTTTCTCTAGTGGCAATCTTAGGGTCCCCTTTTAATGTCTATGCCCTAGCTGATGGTCAAATAGTAATATTGTCTCGACCAAACTGAATGTAGACATATGAAAAGTTCCTATCAATCTAGTCAAAGCTAGCATACTTTAACTCCCTGAATTACTGTCTTAGGTCATTCATACAGAGGTAGAGGCTCAAAGCAGCATTTTTCCTGTAGGAGAGCAATTCTCAGAACAGAGAATAGTAAAAGACAAATTATGAAAGGCAGTGAAAACAGAGTCCTCAGGAATAACTTCCCGAAACACACAAGCAGTGGCTAGGCTAAGAGATGTGTTTCCCACCTGTTCCTAGAAATCCATAAAAAATTAGTGGTCATCTGCAGTACCATATATTCTCAGAGCATTTCACATGCACAAAGGCCCTCTTTTATAAGCCTGTCTACATTATCTCAAGGCTTCTTTTCTTGGACTTGACATTTTCATAAACAGATTATTAATCAGAAGATAATAGCTAATACATCTTTTATTTTGTCTGCAACTCATTTCCTGCCATCTGAAATATCCAGGTGAAATTTAAAGTTCTGAGATTTGATCTTACACAAGCACTATTAACAATATTCTCATACCTATATGATCTTCTTGGTTGATAGTTACAACTTATCAATGATCTATTTTCATGTTTAATACTTATTTGCTATGCAACATTCAGGGTTTTTTCCCCTGCTAGGACTACTACAACATATATGCTAGCCTGAAGTACAAAAAGGGCAAAAACTAAGCCACAAAGCTGCAGATGCCATCTGGAATTCACTCTTTC